TCTTACGAGGAGAGGCTGCCAGAGCTTGGCCTGGCTAGTCTGGGAAAAGAGGACTGAAAGGGGGTCTCATTAATACATATACTCCAAAGAGGAGTGCCAGGAGTATGGTGCCAGACTTTTCAGTGGTGTCCAGCGACAGGGAGAGGAGCATTGGCCAGGAACAAAATCAMAGGAAGTTCTGTCGACATGAGGAACAACTGCTTTACACTGAGGGTGGCAGAGCACTGGAAGTCATGGGCTCTYCCGTTCTGGAGACATTCRAAACCCACTTGGACACATTCCTGYGTAACCTGCCCTAGGTCATCCTGCCTTGGCAGGGGCTTGGTGTAGATGGGATGGTCTCCAGAGGTCTTTTTCMACCCTAATAATTTTGTGATTCTGTTTTGCTCTCAAACCAAGATGTTCTGCAGATGCTTGTTGAAGTCATGCAGGCAAAGGTGGAAGCAAACACTGATTCCAATCCACTTAATATTTAAAACTTTTCACATCTTCCTTGCRATGAGGGAGCTATAACTGGAGGTTCTTTTGGATAGTGGTGGGTACTTTTACAGCAGAAAAGCAGCAGGTTACAATTTTGTTTATGATTTGACAATCAGTTTCTCTARTAAGGTGGCGTGGAACTGCAAAGTGATTTTTGTCTTTAATACTCTTTTATCTGCTAATACAGATGATGACCAAGTTTCCAACTCCAATATGTCACTATTACCCRTGAATCAGGGTAATCTGCCAGATTSCCCTGATATTTTCTTCAGTCTGCCGTTASCAGGAAGGACAGGTTTCACTGCAGATGAAGTGCTTGTTGTCACACACTGCTTTGCCAGACTAGTCATGGCAAAGCACTTTGTTGTGTTCACTTTAACTGGGGTCTCATTAAGGTTAAGATAAATGAGATGCTGTACAAAAGTCAGTTGRTATATTGGAGATTTTAATTTTTTTCCTAATGACTGGCTTGTAACCCAGGCATGAAATTCAGCTTTTCTCCCCTGTGCTGTTCTTACATGAATGTAGACCAAACGGAAAAAAAGCCTGAAACACAAGGAGAAAAAGTTCACTATCAGCTTTTCCAGTGGCATTYGTATTTCCCAGTATCTCCTGCATTTATGTTACTGTGTCTCTTTTCATAGCTGTATTGAATTTGTGGCTCATCCGCATTTTGTGATCCACTAGTGATGTCAGGGCTTTTTCTTCCCACTGTTTTTAAGCGATCACACCTGAAATTAGAACAAATKAATAGTAATCTCTTAATATTTAACTTCACATTTAATGTAGTTAAATGCCATCCCCTCTTCTTGCTCTTTTCAGAATCAGTTGGTTTTGTATGTGTGTATGACGTTATGTCTTTGATTTATGTAGCTCTGTCATCTGCTGCTTTCATTAATGCGCGTTGTCTCCTGTTCCAAGGTCATGGATGCAGATGTGAACGAAAAGAGTGATCCTTTCAGCACTTTGTTTCTGGCCTCTCGATAGAAATACTTCCCCTCTGAAGAAATGAGCAGATCCAAATCTTCATGTTGTTTAGGCTGGCCTGCATTTYATGCCCACACTTATTTGATTGAATCCAGTTTGAGCATAGTGTGCTATAGTACTGTGAAGTGTCTAGATCCAGGCCTGGGTAATCCTGTGTTCTCACCATGTAGTCTTGTCCTTTGTCAAGCAAGGGAACCAGAACTTATGACCAGGTAGAGAATCTGTCAGGAAAGATYTGGCAAAAACCCCCAACTTTTCCTTTTAGATGGTTTAATGTGGTTAGCTTCACAAAGCACCAACAAAGAAGGATGTGAGGAAACACGTCTAGTTGGTAGCAATACTGTACTGCTCCTTAGGTCAGCTTAAGGTGCCATGGAGCTGTATTCTGAGCAGGCATCCAAGAGTTTCATGGTAATGTCAGGGTGAGGTGGTCTGACCCTGTCTGCATGCCAGGTGCCCAGTGAAGCTGCTCAGCTGGGCAGGGGAGTGAAAACATAATGAAAGGCTCATTGGTTGAGGGCAGGAAGAGTTCACTCCCCAATTACTGCCAGGGGCAAAACAGACTTGGGGAAATTATTTATCAAACCAGACTAGAGTAATGAGAAAAAATATGAAATCATAAAAGCCCTCTTCCAGCCCCCCTCCCAGCTGCCTTCCTTCTGAACTGTACTTCAGAGTTCTCTGCCTCTTCTGCCCTGTGAGGTCCCTCCCACAAACTACAGCCTTTCACAAACTACTGCAGCATGGATCTCTCCCAGGGCATCACAAGTTCTGCCAGCAAACCTGTACTGTCACTTGGAGCACCTCCTSCCTGTCCTTCACTGTCCTTGGTGTTTCCAGAATGGGGTTTTTTTTTTTGCATATTCTCAGTCCCCTCTCTGCTGTTCTGTTGGTTTTGGGTTTTTTTTTCTCCCTGAGTCTGTTGTCCTAGAGATGCTATCACTGTTGCTGATGGGTTCAGTTTTCACCAGGAGTGGGTTCGTCTTGCAGTCCTCTGGCACTGGTTCTGTCAGACATGGAAAAGCTTCTAGCAGCATCTCACAGCTCCCCCTGCAGCTTCTGCCGCTACCAAAACCTTGCCATGCAAATCCAACACACAGGATCAGGATCTTAGGATGTAGATTCACGAATCCAAGTGATTTCATAAGACTTCTCCAGTGCTGCAAATTCAGAATTTTCCTATGCTGTCTCAACCTGTTTAAAAAGCTGGCAGGGTTTTTTCTTTCTGATAATATACAATTAATAGAGGAAGGAGAATGTACATGATTTTTCTCTTTCAGTTGGGAGAGTTAATGGGACTTGTCCTGTCTGCAAACAAGCCAGGGATGGTTTGGAGGACTGTATTTCACTGATCACTGTATATACAACAACATTCTCTTCAACTCCAGGAAAACKGCTTCATGTCCAAAAAGAAGTCTGCCATCCTTTCTGAGTGAAGCCAGAGAAAAAAAAATTCCTTGTAAAATTTGGTTTTGCTACAGCTCTTAATTACCCAGACTCAAATATGTTGTATGATAGCAGTGAGACCTAACTTTGACTTTTGTAGCTGTGTAAATGATAAAGGAATGACAATTTCAGCAATTAATTAAAACAGTTGGGATCTCTGGCAATATGTAAATGCAGTTGTTCAATAAAAGCTTTTAGGTCAGGAAAATGAAAAAAAACCCCAAATTACAAACCAGAAAATAACAACATAGCCCTATAGTTGCTGTGGATGTTACTGAGATGAACTAGAACACCTCTGGCAAGGTCTTTGGGCAAGACCTTGTAGCTATTAATAGCGTTGCAAGATAGAAAAGAACTACAGTACATAGAAGCTATTCATCCCACATGCCTATATTCCACCTGGCTGGATCTACAGTAATTGAACTGAGAGGGAAAATAAACAGAACAGCCACAATGCAGAGTAGAAAGTGCYGGAGAACTGTGTTTAAAGCAATGTTATTTATCCTGCTTTTATTCTTCTTGCTTAGTTTCCTATTCTCCCTTACTGTAGTCTCTGTTAGCTACAATATGTTGCTGAGCATTCAATTRAAGCTGCCCCATGATACAGAGCTGGGACTCACAATTTCCTGTTCATTCAACAGCAAGTCAACATGACCAGTTTGGAGTCTGGCTATAAGCTTATGTGTTTGTGGTTTTGAAAGATTTCTCCTTCGATTCTGAAGCACACAGTGTGACTTAAATCTTCTACMTTTGTTGCATTTCTACATTCATGAGTGCATGTGCCATTTGAAGAAWGCATTTTTGTACTACCTAAGAAGCAGCCATGCAGAAGAAGAACTTATTACAGAAGCATTTATGCTAAGAACTCTAATGAAGTATCAAATTTGAAATTTTAAGAAATGCAGTAAAATGTCTTCCACCTGCAAAATGTGCTCTTATCTTGTCAGTTTTGGACTGAATAATGAATGTTTGACTTCCAGGAATCTTTGGTGAAAAAGCACTGAATTAAGCCTTTTGGCAGGTATCCAGAAAMTTTAAGTCTTGGCACCAGCATACTTTTCTTCTATGCTGGCAATGAATTAAACAATGAGCATTGCCAAGCAATGTGTTACAGGAGAGAGAGGCAGAAGAAACACAGCTTTTCTCCAACCAGCCACTTCCATACTGAGCACATGGATAACAGTCTGATTSCTTCAGCTCTTAATGAGGCTGAGATTTCACCAAGTGGGTTGAATAGTGCTAACTCCCTTGAAAAAGGAGAGGTCCTGCTTTCACCCCCACTTTTGTCTCACAATCTGTTCCTGGCTTCCTGGCTACTGCTTGATTTGTCTTTGTACTTTGGGGACTCAGCAGTGAGTCAATCCAAAGCAGCAGAAGACGTGGATGTTTCCCTGCTGGCTCAGAGCATTGATTCAGCTCAGGGAAAGGTCTGAGCTGACTCAGCAGAGGAGGMAA